AATCACAGATAGGAAGCTGACTAGGGTCGTAGCGGTGAAGACGAGGAGTCTTCTCTTGTTGCCACTTACAGGAAAGGTCTTCATGACGGCTATTCGTGACACTTGATCAACCAACATCTCTTCTTCTTCTTCTCCTTCTTGCCCTCCGCACATGGCACACTCCCATTAGAAAGAATTGGCTGAGAAGAAGGAGAATTATTCTCATATTATCTGTATTATGCATTTCCTGGGTCCACTAGTTAATTATTCACGGATTTGAAGTGTCATGTACTACTGGCAATGGATTATGTAACGCGTGCAGAATTTAACAAGTGATCCTTTTAGCCGCAGTGATATAGTACTGAACGGAAAAGGAGACATTCCTGTGGCCGTACCAGAGTTGGATTTTGCGTCTTCGCGAGTGAACATTTGTCAATCACCCTGTAGAGCAGTGGCGTACCAGCGAGTGAAACACCGAACCAATGCCCCCCCCCCCCCCTAATTTTTTCTCGCAATGGGCACATCATGCTCTCGTTGGCCTCTTTTCAACGTTGCCTGCAGTGCTTCCCTACCAGTACACATGCACCGACAAATCTTGCCTGGGATGCATTAAGCCCGATGAATTAGAGAATGAGTGCAAGAAGAACAAAATCCCGGCAAAAAAATTCTCAATGAGATGTCATTCGAATCCACGTACTGACTATCCGAAGACAACCGCTCAGCTATCTAGGTACGCTGGAGAGCATGTCATAGTTTACTTATTATATAGTGTGCAAAAGATTTGGAGAGATAAGTGAGGGGGAGGAACAGGAACAAAAGGTGGGGAGAGAGCAAAGTGTCGCAGAGAATGATTGAGGAACAAACAGACTAAAAAGTGAGGGAGAAAGGTGAAGAAATAGAAATAGAATGGAATAGAAAATAGAGAAATAAATAAATTGCACGAAAGAGCACAGCAATAACAGAAAGAAGAAAGAAAAAGAGGAAGAAAGAGATATTAAAAGGAACAAAAAGGGCTGTTCACTTTCACACTCTTTCAGTGAGCCTTGGCACCTCCATTGAAAATCTGCCTTAATACATTTGCAACTTTGCTATGACGTGAGAACAACACTGACCACTGGTTGCTGTTCTAAATCAGAGGCCTAAAACACGTGTCCGCCGACTTTTTTTTTTTTAGCGACCAAGCTTGCACAAGACAGTCTGAAGCCGATACTTTTACCCTAAGTGAAAAAGTCAGCTCTCTAGTTGAGGCTCACTGATAAGCACCTGCGATCGACCATGAAGATCATCTCTGCACAAGAAATACTACGGACATTTCCTCTTTTGCCATTGCGAAATTTCGTAGGGCATCAAGCGAGCATGTTCAGAACTTCAGGAGCTGTTTAGTACTTTACAAGGAAGACAGTTGAGTCACTTTGCTAAATAGCACTCACACTTAGTTCTTGCAACTTTCCCTGGATAATGCTCTGATCAGGAAAATTACACAGATGTGACTCGTTTCAAGCATTCATATTACGATTGCCCCATGCAGCCCGAACATAACAATGAAGTATTTTTTTTATTTGGAAATCAGCATCCGTATTCAAGCCATTCTGAAAGTATGTATTGTCATTTTTATCATATTTGATGACAAATCTCTTTAAGAAATGTCCGATATATAGAATGCGGAAAAAGGGCTTTTAAATGACGTTACTCGACGTTGTCACCTTCCTCTCCCACTTTGACGAAAAGACGCAATGTTCCACACATGCAAGCCAAGTTGGGTTAAAATAGCGTTTCCGTTTTTTTGACCAGGTGAAAAGAGCACTCCGCTTATTCTCACCAGGTCGAAGCAGTGCCGACCGCAAAACTTAGCAGTGGCTTAGCTTGATTATGCCAAAATATACATAGCGTGAGCTGCGGACGGGTGGAGAGGCAGACAGGCGGACGGATGCACGGACGGACAGATGGATGAATGAACGAACTAGGGAACTCACGCGAGTACAGCGCCTGACCACGTGACACATCACTCCAGGAGCTTCCAGGCCTTGTCCAGCAGGCCAGCTGTGTACAGTGCGAGTTCAATGCCCCTCGATATGTACAGCACGGCTTTCGATAAGCCACACGAAACTGCTCATCCATGGCGAGTGTAGCATATGAAAAAAAAGTCCATAACTATACGTATAACTATGACAAGGTCACTGCGCCCTTAGCGTTAAGCAAGTGGCTCTAACAGCGGAGAAACGTTATCACTGCGTTGAACTCAATTGCAAAGGCCGTAAGACAGAATTCATCATCATCATCATCATATTTTATTTCCTTAAAGACCCCACAAGGGAGTATTACATAAGGGGTGGATGTACAGGATATAAAAAACATTTGCCACATAAGGGGTTGGTATACAGGATATAAAACTTTTGCTACATTCAAAGTATAAAATATTGCTACATAGGTGTGGGTATATACATTGCCATAAAGTTTCACTGACAGAGATGAGTTGTTACATTTTTAGCGAAAGTTGATGGGCAGGTGATTGTGACGACGTGGTTTGGGAGGTCGTTCCAGTCCTTCACAGCACGCGGAAAGAAGGATGCGGAGAAGGTAGCAGTCCTAGTGCGGTAACGGTAGACTTGGAGGGGGTGGCTGGTGCGGTGCGAAATGTACGTCGCAGGGATGACGTATGGAGGAATTGTAGTTATGTTGCAGTTCAAAATTTAACGGAATGTTTGTGAAAGGCCGTGCTTCGACTGAGACGAACACAAGTCAAGCGTTAACAGAGGCCTGTGCACCGTCCGCTCGCCAGTGCCATTAGTGACAGCTTTCAGGTAACTAGGCATGATTCCCATTTCAATGTTGAAATTACAACTAATGCTGCAATAATGACACGTTTGAAAGAGAAGGTACCCGAAACTCGCGCGGATTAGCCCAGAGATGAAGGACGCGTGTTACCGCGGCTCTTCCAGGTGAGTATCGCTATTCTTCGCGCCGCCTCCACGGCTTCGTCGACAATGTCCGTGGGCGTCAAATCGAAAAACAAGCGGATGGCGGCATCCCGCAGTCCACCGGGCTTGTACGACACTCGCGGAAGGCGTTCACACACGGCCGACTTCATGGCGTCCACGGCCTCTTGCACGTTGTCTCTCGTGATGAACGAATGCAGCGCGGCTGCCGTGAGCTTGGAGCGCGCGACGGAGCGATGGTTGATGGCGCTGCGGATGCCCTCCGGGAGCAGAGCCGTGTCTCGGTCGTAGGTATCTTCCATCTTCGCTGTGGTCCATTATGGCCGTCCTGCGTGACAGAAGAACACAAGGCATCGTGTTTAGAGAGCAATACGCATCGGTGTCCTTACCTTTATACAGTAATCTACTACTTGAACAGACGCAAGTTCACGGCTGAATTCGAGGTTTGGACGTTTGAACAAACAGACCTGTCTTCCTTAAGACTGCAACTCAAGAAGACTTGACCACTTGTCGAAACATTGGCTCGACGCCTCCGCTTAAGGAATTTTTCATTTCTTAAGTTTTCATCCTGCCCTGAAACTCTGCGTTATTTCGACTGCCTTTGCGAAGAGTCTGTGTGTAGCCGCTATAAAAAATGCAAGCTTGATTGCGATATTGACATGGTTTTGTATACATTCGCTTCAGATGGCTCCAAGTCAAAACCCATCTTTCCTTTAATAGCAAAGCTGTTGAACCTAGGAGTAACACGTCCGTTAACAAAAACAGCAGCTGCCCCGTCGCCATAGTAACAGCCAAAGCAGTGCGCCACCTGGACTACAGGTAGCCCACTTATAGGCAAGTTGAGGAGCAGCCGCCGCCAAGCAGCCGCCGTAGCGACCTCCACAGTTTCTTATACACTGTGGTTTGGGGACAGCAATTTCAACTCATTCAGAGTGACAAATTTTGCGCGTATTCCGTAGCCGCCCGTCACCGTGTCTTGGCTGCTGCTCCTTCAGCCAAGCGCGCTGTATCCAATCGCTGCCGGCGTTGCGATTCCCGTGCGGCAGCACCACGAGCTGCGGATCTATACCAGCTTCACTGTGCCAAGCTTTGCGCAACCATTAACAAACTTCCCGCATTCTTTTCTTTTTTTTTCTTATCTTCCGAGTCCATTCTGCCGTAACGTCATAACGAGGTCACAAATTTTCGCCATATGCACGTGATAATGACGTAATGAGGTGTCATGGACTAACGTCGTGTTACGTGGGGTCAGTGTGCTTTGGGCACACCGTCGGTGCACGTGCAGTGAGATGTTTAGAGATCATGTGAGAGAGAGAATAAACTTTTATTTTGTGCGAAACCTCTGTGCGCCCAAGGTGGGTGGCCTCCCTACTACAGGTAGCCGCAGGCCTTCACCATCTCCAGCGCCCGTTGAACCAGGCTTCACTGATTGTTCATACCTTGGTCTGATAGTTTGGCAGTACTCGAGAAAAAAGAAAACAGAATACTTCTGCTGCTTCAGCAGACCACGTTTAATTTAGATTTTAGATATGTTGTAGAATGCTCCAAACGTAATATCGGCGTCAAATGAAACTCGAACAGCGCAATGGTAATTGATTTGTGGGGTTTAACGTCCCAAAACCACAATTTGATTAAAACAGCGCAATGGTATAGCGCGCACCGCCCAGTTATCACCACGGACAGGCGCACATATGCTCAGCGCTGTCAAACCGGATGCTCGCGTCTGTCAATAGTGATGACTGGATGGAGCACAGATTGTGAATGCTTGCCGCTGCTCGGCTTTCCTTTGACGCTGATATTACCGTGAAGCTTGACGGAATCCAGATTACCAGAGAACTTGAAGCTTTCTACGACCTATCTATTGGTTCACTAAACGATAGTTACAGCGCGAGAACAAAACGACGACACAGAGACAAGAAGGACACGAAAGACACGAGTGCTCGTGTCTTTCGTGTCCTTCTTGTCCCTGTGTCATCGTTTTGTTCTCGCGCTATAACTATCGTCATGCCATACCATCTAGCCCAAGCTGCCACACTTCTAGGTTCACTAAAACTTGCATCTGGGCTATTTGGTTTGTATTTCAAGCTAAACCAGTCTGCGCGAATAAAGACATGGATACAGGAAAGATAAGGCAGGCACAAGCACAATCTGAGCCCATGCCATGTATGTAGCCGTATACAGTCCGTTCACACTTGGGGTCAATCTCGGAACGCACGAATCACGGTGCCACGAGCGCGGCAGTTGCGTATAGGCAGCATCTCGCACATGCGTAGACACTTGAATGGCCGTAGTGTTGAATCGTACCATTTGCTACGGCGGCACATGGGTACATCACTGGCCGCACCACGTATCATGTGGTCCGAGATTTCCCCTAAGTGTGAAACAGACTGTACGTGGAAGGAATTCCACTTTGGTGGGAAGCCCACGTAGACCCAACGTAAATTACAGTTGGGGGCTATTGACCCTCTTCTGGGAATGTGCCCGGCTTTGGTTTAACCGTGTATAAGCGGCGGAAACCGTTTAGTGGGCTGTAGCCCTTTGTATCGTAGCGGTGGCTACTTGGTTAGAGAGTCCACTTTCAATGCGGGAGGTACCGGGTTTGATTCCCAATCCCAACTACTGGTTTTTCTCAATCGGTAGAGGATAATACCTCTACCCAATGGGTATACGGGCCTGGCGCTTGGTTTTACTGGGTACTCATCTCGAAAGGTAACCCCATAAGGTTCTGCGAAAGCCCGTGGACGTGCCTCAATCCACCACAGCTTTGGTGAAATAGTTGAGCATACGTTCCCGGCTGCGGGAGGCAGACAATTGCTGTGGCCGGGTACCTACTGACTAAATAAGTACAAGCGCACTCCTGGCCTGGTGCTCGGCAGAACGAAGTCCATAATCGCTTGGGAGTGCACGTAGCCTGTGGGGACTTTGCGGCATGGGACCGCCAGGCCTAAAAATTAAGGTCATCCTTTATTTGCGCTAGTCCCTGTCCTGCCTTATCTGTGTACTTGTCTTTATTTGCGCACACCTGTTTATCTTGAGATTTATGTAGTGGTGTCTAACCTGTTCACGTCGACTGGACGTGCGCTTGAGCATGAGCATCAGTTGAGCATGAACATCAGTTGATGTCAGTTTATGAAAATTGCTTAGTATTTGAGTACTGATTGATATGTGGAATTTAACGTCCCAAAACCACCACATGAATAACGAGAGACGCCGTATTGGAGGGCTCCGGAAATTTTGATTACCTGGGGTTCTTTAACGTGCACACAAATCTGAGCACACGGGCCTACAACATTTCCGCCTCCATCGGAAATGCAGCCGCCGCAACCGGGATTCGATCCCGCGACCTGCGTGTCAGCAGCCGAGTACCTTAGCCACTAGACCACCGCGGCGGGGCATAGTGTTTGAGTATTGCTTTCATTTAAAAGTTGCTGCCGGTTTAACGTAATCGTGATTTCTTGTCTCCTAAGTAACTTCATTCTCCGCGGCAACTGTAGCGCAATTTGTTTAGCCATAAAAATCAACTAGCCCAATACCCCATTTTGCTCGAGTTTATCGCCATAGTAAAGCTTGTGAACATTTGTTTCAAATAATATGTTGAGGAATTCTTAGCCTGTTTGGAAAGTTGCCACCTTATCGCTGTTGGCTTACTATTAAAAAATATCCGGACGGATGGATGGACGGATGAATGGATGGACGGACGGACGGACGGATGGACGGACAGACGGATGGATGGACGGACGGACGGATGGACGGATGGATGGATGGACGGATGGATGGACGGACGGACGGACGGACGGATGGACGGATGGATGGATGGATGGATGGACGGACGGATGGATGGACGGACGGATGGACGGATGGATATGGCTGTACCCTTTAGATCGGGCGGTGGCTAGCGTAATACTTAGAACTGAACGAGAGGTGGCTACATACAGGGGACGCACAGCCCATGCCTTGAGGAGCTTCGCTCCTAAAACTATTAGACTAGTATTTGATTCGTACTTGTATTCGATATGGTGTCATCACTTTTAGATTCATGTTTGATTCGGTTCTGAAATTGTCCATTTGCACACTCCTACTAACAAGGCCTTCACTTTGTAATTCGGCTGCACATGTACAAACCTGTAGGCGGTGGGCTCCACGGTGCACACGTGAACGCCCCTGTTGAGATACTGGCGTCGGAGGCCGTCGGCGAGCGTTATGCAGGCGCTCTTGGTCATGCAGTACGCCAAGCACTCTGGAAGGGTCACTCGGCCTGCGCAGAACAAGGTGCAGACACGTCAAACTGAGAAACTGCACCCGATGCGTATGTACTACGACTACACCTAGTGGATCATCGTCACACGTACGAGATGTAGTCACTGTGGTGCGTTCATCATTATCCTCAACACGATTCTTTTTGTGTGCAGACTGCACCACGAAAGCCTCAGCCTGATATCTGAGATTAACCCCTGTCCTTCAGGGCCGTACTCATTGGTTCGAAAAACTAACAGAATATAATAACTTTTTTTCTATCCTGACGCGTACACCAGTGACAGGTGCGTTTCGTGCATACACATGGCGACACTCGCATGCGTGCTCTGGGAGTGTAGAAGCGCTCTATCCTGGCTCTACCGCATCCTGGCTCTACCTTAAACAAGTGGGAGATGTCCTTGAAAAGCTCACTTCTTGCTGACCAGCAATAGGCCATCTAGGAGGCCTTCGAAGCGTCCGCCAGGTATTCTCTGTCGGCCCCTACGTGGGAGATGATCAATATACGCTCTAAGCAGTGTCCCTACAGGACAAAAATAAAGCTTTAAAGCGAAGCTTCAATTAGTTTAACCTTATCCTGCGTCAGGCGTAACCAGCAGTACCTCCCGAACAGTATAATAGACTGCGCTGTCTCCTAGAAGTACATACAAATTGCAGTTTAGTGAGGATATTTTTATCTTAGCACTGTTTTCATAAACTTTTTGTATTTTTTTGTGATGGTATACCTCTATGTTTATTTCATTATTGTTGTGCATGATTGACTGCCATTCCTGCTGCTTTGTCAACTTGTGAACGGGGTCAGGACCTCGTCAAGCTCTTGAGCTTTTAGTCCTGTCCTCCACCTAATCTAAAGAAAATAAAATGATTGATTGATTGATTGATTGATAACGCGGTGCGGCTACTCTCTTATTCCCTGCTGTGCGGGCTGTGCCTGGGTGGGCGGAGAACGAGTGCCTCTCTCGGTCTCCTGGATTGTTGCCGTACGTGTCAGATCGTTGGTGGGGCATGGATGAAGCGGAGCGGTGGGTGCGGAGGGCCATGGCAGCTCGTGCTCTCCGCCAGCCAGCCAGCCAGCCAGCCAGACACACAGACAGACAGACAGACAGGCGGAAAAACGGATGGACGCACAGATGCACGGACGGACGCACGGATGAACGAACTCATCATGATTCACTGCGTGGATGTGCTGTGAATTTTTAAAATTTCATTGAGATCCTACTTTCCGAAAGCGCGAATCTATTAGGAGAGACTTCATAGTGGAGGGCTCTGAAAAATTCTACCACGTTAGATTCGTGCACCTAAATACATGCATACGGACTTTTATCAATTTACCACATCAAAATTCGACCGCGCATCAACCGGCAGACCACTATGACGGGTCGATCTCGTTCTTCCTATATGTTTCTGCTTCTTCTTGTCATAGCCTTGCCACATGATCTAGCAGATCTTTACTATAGGTCAGTAATTTCAAGCAAGTGTGGTAGTCAGAGAAAAAAGTCATAGCCGTTCGAATGCTGCGAAGATCGGAAGCCAGCGTCCGCGACGTACGATGGCTTCGCGTCATTTTCGCGCCCATTTGCCTTTCCGTGCGCGTTAGTGTTCCTTCAATTTTCGCTATTATCTGTTCGAGGGAACAAGGTGCGTCCATCCTATAAAAAGCCCAAAGGGCAACTGATAATAAAGGCACCAGCTCGAACTGTGCGTCATGAGACAAAGGAGCCCAACGATTAATGGGGAGTGGCACCATCGAATATCGCGACACTTGTGAAAGAGCAATCTGTTGTGGCGAGGGGCATAGAGTTTCATATACATACAGTAGAGCGAACTCTGGCCTACGGAAGGGTGACTATGGGAGCTGCAACACGTGGCGCTTCCGCCAGCAAGGGAATGATGGGTACTACTACATTTCTCCGATCTTCGTCATTTCGGCTCCTTTCGGCTCCGTCTGGCTTGAATCCGGTTCGCCGCAATACTAACGCTCCACCACCTTGATCTGTTTGTGCTCACCAGTACAAGTAAGCGCACGAAGTTCATGACGGTCCGATTACTTTTTCGAAACAAAACCGAAACACATAAATGAGCAAAGCCACTATAGTCCGTTCAAAGCCCACTAGCGCGAAGACTAGGCAAATCCATGTACTACCCATTGTGTCCATGGTGGCTGAACAATTGCAGTACTAGAGTTTATTTTTTTACTTTGTTTTAGAAAGCTCTATGTCGAGGGGCACCTGTGGCGAGGGGCACCTGTGGCGAGGGGGTGAGGTTCGATGGTCACCGGATATCGTTGTCCTACGTGTCTTTTGTCTACGGGCGTGATCCTCTATAGCAGCGTGCAGCTTCGCAGTAAAACACGAATACAGACCTAGAATGCTGCTGATGAGGACTAGCCTTCCGCCAGACTTCTTGAGTAGCGGCAGGAACGTGGCAGACACGGAAAGAACGCCGAAGGTGTTCACGTCGAACACGGAGCGGACGCGGCTCAAGGGTTGCCACTCGATGTAGCCCATGCTGCCGACACCGGCGTTGGCGACCACAGCCCACAGGTCTACACTGTTCAAGCAGAAAAAAAGGGGGAGGGAGGGAGAGAAGGAACGTATATTACGAGTGCAGAGTCACAATCGCCCTTGTATCTGTGCCAGTCGCAGTTGTAACAGGGCAAACTGAACAGAATGAATAGTTTTATTGCCCCTTTTTGTCTCTCTATCACAGGCAATAGCTCATCTCAAGTTGGTTCATTTTAACACTTTATGTAATATGATTATCTCCACACTTCAGTACGAAGAATTTGTCATCACCGTGGTGGTCAGATGTAGGCGTGGACAACGACCCAGAAATGCACACACATTGCTATGTCTCTCGGTGCCCAGAAAAAAAAAAAACTCTTTTTTTAGCCATTGGCATTAGCTACATTCCTTGTTTGATCGTTTTTGTACTCTACTTAACGCACAATAAATTACAGCAATGAAAAATGCATTGTTCTAACGCAATGGTTAAAACGGTAGAAAGGGTTATATGACAGCGTGAACGCTAGAACACTAATTTCAGCTAAGCCAATCCTTGTAAGTCAAAAAGGAACGCAGTTTTTCCACTTGGTCAGCAGAACGACCTCTTTACAGATGTGGCTGCTGCGGTAGTTCCCGTAGATAACACTTTGCTCCCGGCTTTCGAGCTCGAAGGACGGAAGGCGGCTTACAGAAGCGTATCATGGTCGCTTCTCTTTCATTCAACACTCAATTTCTGCTCCCTGTAATCTGTCATTACTTTATAGTAAATATATCCTTTCTCTTTTGTATAGCGCATGTTTTAGGCCACTCTGCGAACATATATGACGGTATCATCGCAAATCACTGGTCACAGTAAACACTGCATTGTCAGTCAGGGCGCTTTTTGACGACATTTCGCCGCGGTGCCATTGAAATCCCCATATAGCACTTGCAGGTCATGCTTGTTTTAATGTCACTACGATCTTACTCCTGCCATCAAGCGTCTTGAGCACAGTCTGGAAGGCTCGAGCGACCTCTTCTTCCTTGGTGACGTTCATCTGCAATACCCGGATGTTCTTGGAGCTCCCCAGCAGCTTCGAGCTCTCGCTGTTCTCGTCCAAGCAGCCGGCGTAGACAAAGAATCCTTCCTTCGCCAGCTGCTTGGCAAGCATGTTGCCGAAGCCGGTGTCGCATCCTGCGTTAAATGATTTCGCACCTTATTAAGGGGAAAGCCTTGCAAGCCTCATAAAACGCGAAAATTGACAGTCAACGTCCACAGCTGCGGTGCGAAAGATTATCGAGGTATGACTTGCCCTTATGACGTAATCAGAACGTCACAAGTAGGCAAAACGTGTGACGTAACAATGTCGGAACTGATAGGTGACGGAAAATAGTAGGTGAAAGCTTAAGAGATAGGAAGAGAGCAAAGCGGGTCAGGGAAAAAACGGGTGTGTGGAACAGTTCTGAAACGCACAAGAAAAATTGGCCCCGTATATTCATGTTTCACTACACATGTCGTCGAAAGACAATAATCTTGCGTCTCGAGAGAAGTGAACAAAACGTTTATTTTATGTTCTGCGCGAGAAAATTGGTGAATTGTACTCCGGAAGCGCTGCATTAGAGAGTCTCGATCCGTGCAGTGAAGGCGAACGAGCGTATCGAGGCATGTTAAACACGAGCGCTATCTGGTAGTCATCTTAGAAAACGAAGGAAGGCGTGCGCGCCTGTCTCGGAGGCAATAAGGTGTAGAACCTAAAGCGACTGGCAGGTGCCACCAGCGTGTCGTCTTAGCAAATCATTTGAAACACTTGCCTTTTTGAGCATCGCGTTGCATTGTCGGCGCAGCGTGATAAACGCTACGGTTTTTAGAATTACTTATGTATGCTTTCTCAGTATAAAGACACACATACAAAATATTGACGTGTCGTTATGGTGCCTCAGATATGCGCAATAAATTATTTGGCAACCGCACTAGTATGAATGCTCAAATTTGAGCAATATTGGTCGGCACTTCGGATGGAGTTGGTCGTTTAGGGCATTGTTTGGGACCATTTGGGGCATCGTTATGGCGGACAAACAGATAAATGGACAGACAGACAGACAGACAGACAGACAGACAGACAGACAGACAGACAGACAGACAGACAGACAGACAGACAGACAGACAGACAGACAGACAGACAGACAGACAGACACACAGACAGACAAGCGAGAGGCGGGCGGGCGGGCGGGCAGGCAGGCGGGCAGACTAAAATTTTTGCGTTGAAGTACCCCACGAAAGACTATCGTCTTTAAGAACGCGGACTTATTTATTTATTTACAACATACTGCGGTCTTGAAAAAGACCAAGCAGGAGAGGCACAAAAATTAAGTGGAAAACACACGTAAGCGAGATAGATGAATGATGTGCACAAAATACAGAAGATAAGTACATTATACAGACATATATAAATGATCTTAAACACGGGTTAATACGACCTTCAGAACAACGGTGATGGGTCTATCTTCCTATTATACATTCACAATTGCGATAAACAGTAAAGCAAGTCGAGTACAGACTACAGTACAGACAATATGGCACGCTCAAAATGGCACATAGACTAAGATATGAAAACCACTTCAGGCAGTGAATTCCATTCCGATACTGTACGTGGGAAAAACGAATTCTTGAACATGTTTGTGTGGGCTCGATACGGAAGCAGCCCCGCCGCGGTGGTCTAGTGGCTAAGGTACTCGGCTGCTGACCCGCAGGTCGCGGGATCGAATCCCGGCTGCGGCGGCTGCATTTCCGATGGAGGCGGAAATGTTGTAGGCCCGTGTGCTCAGATTTGGGTGCACGTTAAAGAACCCCAGGTGGTCAAAATTTCCGGAGCCCTCCACTACGGCGTCTCTCATAATCATATGGTGGTTTTGGAACGTTAAACCCCACAAATCAATCGATACGGAAGCAAATTGTGCGTGTGCCGATGTCTCGTGGGGCGTGATTGAAATGGTTGAATGTATACCGATGGATTTACCTTTGTGGAACCAGTATAAAGAGCAAACAGCAGTTTCAGCCTATCGATTTTTCGTCTATGTTCCAGGGTTGAAATGCTATTCGCCAGCATTAGAGAAGTTGGCGAGTCGGTGGTCCTATATTTGTTGAAAATGAAGCGTACGTATAGCGCGTCTTTGCACCATTTCAAGCCGGCGCTTATCTTTTTTATGGAAGGGGTCCCATACGACCGAAGCGTATTGCAGTTTAGGAAATATTATCATTTTGAAGGCCAGTAATTTGACATGAGTTGGTGACGCTTTGAGTTTATGCCGTAAAAGGCCTAACTTGCGTGTGGCAGATGCGCAGATGTTTTCTATGTGCTTTGACCACGACAGAGTATTGGTGAACGTTATCCCGAGGTGTTTGTACTGGCTATTTCTACCACTGGTGCATCATTTAATGAATAGGAAAACTGAAAGGGTTGTTTTTTCTTTGTTACACGAAGTAGAACTGTTTTGTCAGCGTTCAAGCTCATACCCCAGGTAGTGCACCACTGACCAATTCCCGTCAAACTGCTGTTTAACAAGACTTGGTCATCGGTGCCCGTGATTTCCTTGAAAATGAGACAGTCGTCTGCAAAAAATTTTATGGAAACTCTCGGGTCAATAGCAGATGTTATGTCATTGATGTAAATTAAAAAAAGAACCAGTCCCAAAACACTGCCCTGTGGAACGCCAGATGTCACACCAAGTCTTTCAGATGCCCACCCGTCGACTTCCGCAAACTGTGTTTTGTTTGTTAAATATGATTTGATCCAGTTAATTATAAACGCAGGCAGGCCCAGAGAAGAAAGCTTAGTGAGTAGTTTATCATGGGGTACGCGATCAAAGGCTTTACTGAAGTCAAGAAAGGCTAAATCTATTTGGCTGGATGAATCGAAAGCTTGTGCGATTTCATGAGTGGTTGTAACAAATTGAGTAGTGGTAGAAAGGCCTTTGCAGAACCCATGTTGGAACTCGGAAAGGACGCTGTTTGTTTCCAGAAATTTGTTAATAAAAGAGGCGATTATGTGTTCCAAAATTTTGAAGCTGGTTGATGTTAGTGAGATGGGTCGATAATTTTCCATTTTCAAGCTATTTCCTTTTTTAAAGACAGCCAAAACGCGAGCTAGGCGCCAATCATCAGGCGAAACTGAGTGGCGCAAGCATAAACGAAAGATGGCGGTCAAAATGTGCGATATCGGCTCGGCATAACGGCGTAAAAAAGCATTTGGAATTAGGTCTGGCCCTTCTGACGACTTTTCATTTATACCCAGCATAAGTGCAAGGACGCCTTCGCAAGATATAAATTCAGGATCAATATCAGTCACATTCGTGAACAGCCCGTTTGTTTCAGTCTGGGGAGAGAAGATCGAATGGGGGAGAGAAGACCCACGAAAGACTATCGTCTTTAATAACGCGGACTTAGAAGGACATCAAACACGTATTACAAGCACTGTGCAAATTCAGGTATGTTTGCTTAGATAGCCTAACTATAGAGAGAAAAGGGCAACCGATGGTTTGGAGATAAATTAATCTGCCCGCCTATCAATCAATTCAGCCTTTAGTATGACATACCACCGTGCCACGTGTTAGAAACATTTTAGTGGAAATCCATATAATACACCATTATGATGGAATGCTTTCCATCATAACGGAGCAAATGGTTAATGTTGTGTACGTCACTCAATGCACAATACATTCAACTGAACAAACTGTCTCCCCATCTCCTCTGGGCAATTAGAGAACCTATGCATGTGCGTGCAGTTGGATATCTTGAAGGGGCCCCGAAACAGAGCAGCAGTTCGCAGAAACAGCAGTATGAGACAATTGTCTTGTTTGTGTCTGAGCAGAAAGGCGCCTACCGTATGCAGGTGATGTGATTAATTGCCCTGTTTCATCCGCTTCATCTTAGCACACTACAATTAACAAAGAGAAGTACACCCGCGACCAAACTATTTCATCCACTACATATTAGCACACTACGGTCAACCAAGAGCAATACACCCACATGTGCTCACTAAAAATTTCGATAAATCAGCAGAAGAAGGAGAAGTAGCAGAAGAAGTAGCAAGTAGTTCACAAACGGCAAACTTTCAAAATCACGAGCATGTTCTCCGCATCTACCCCGGGCAATTTCCAGACGCTGGCTAGCTTTTGTGAGCATGAATACGCATAGATGAAACACATCCTATAAAAAGGCGCACACATTTTTCATCATGCAAACTCTGATCTACTTGAGGAGCACTGGAGTGACGCTCTACCTAGCTCAAAATTAGAAAACCAAGTTTGGCCCATCCAACAGGCCGCCCGGGAAGCTGTAGAAAACCTTACCGCAGCCATCTGGGTCACCTAGGTCAGGGCACCAGTTGGCAGGTTTTGAATGAAGTTATGTCCAGTCCAATGTGTTCCGGTACTGGGTAATCGAATATTTATAGCGGGAGACGTTTCATCATTATGACGGATTTTTATAACGTATAACGGGGAAATTTTAAACAGGACAGGCTTCGAATAGCCTAGATCGAAGCACACAGGAAAAAAAATGTTCAGCTGTAGCATGAACATTACCTCCATTTTAATGCCTCCTTGTGTTTCCAGCTTTTCCTGACTCTTCTAAATATAATTATTCGGTTGTTCTATATGAAATTCAGTGCATGTGTCTGTTAGGAGCTTTTACAAGAGGTACTGAACCGTGTGCTAAATAAGAACTTTGTAGGTTTCAGTTGTACGTTTCAGAGGGACACCCCATTCTCCGTGACTATGGGAGCATCTTCATGGTCGCTGCGACACCTGCCGACACAGGCAGTTTGATGTTGTTAATTATGACGTTCTTTATCTTTCTTATCTTTCCTCGTTTGCTTCGGACTTTCTCCGGTACGAAACAGCCAACTAAGAATGACATTTTTGCTAACCATGCTGCCTTTCGTTTGCTCATAGATTTATATGTATGAAAACACAACTTGGTATCGCGCACGCATGTTTGTAACCCCTAAAACATTTGGTCAAGGACGCGAGTTTAAAGTGACACTGAAAAACGTAGTATTTACACTGACGCTTCGACCGGAAACCGGCTTTTGATAGGAGCCGGTCCCCGGTCGAAACATCTGTGTGAATGACATTATCAACAAATTTTTATCCACGAGTCCAACATGCGTAACGGAGTGCTGGAAGAACTGCTCTGATGGAAACTGCTCAATCATGGCGTCCCACTTAGCAACTAACCTCAGTGCGCCTTCGGGCAGTTGAAATCAAGTAGCCAGTCGTACCTGTTATGAGCACGCACTTTCCCTTGGGATCGACTAATCCGTTGAACAGAACCCGGTGAGCGTACCACAGCAAGCAGTAGCCCGACATCAGGAACACGAACAGCAACCCCACGTTAGCTGCGAGGTCCAGGAGCCACGGTACCCGCAAGCACAGCCACCAGAGGAACATCGCGGCCAACCAAGTTAGGCGGGCAGGGTTGAATCTGATCATTGCCAGCGCTGCGCTGCGATATCGGCACACCACGACCTAAAGATGGAGGACTGGAGAATACTCTGGTTTGGAGCAAAGCGGCTACACTTGCACCCGAAGAAAATAATCGTGCGCTTCAGGGCAGACAAACGTCGACGAGTCCATTAAGATAAAAGAAATCTAAGTTCTTGGGTGTAGAGGAAAAGAACGCGTGCAGACGTTTTTTTCTGTTCCTTTTTCCCTACATGCAGCTGTTTCGTACAATCAAACTGCGTGCCTTGAATGACGCGAACATGCTCGGCACGTGGGTGAAAGTAGGTCCAGGAAAAAGAATTAGTAAGGCAGTAGCCAAAAAGTTTTAACTCATAAAGACAAAGAGAGCTGACACAAAGGAAGATGAACAGGCAGTTTGTAAAGACCTGAATACAACGTCATTTTAAACTCAGCTGGCGTCTTAGCATCACGAGACTCCCTTGCCACTCAGGTGTGCAATATGATGGCACAATAATAAAAATTAAAGGGCGGCGTTACAACTAGACGTACGACCGAGTAAGCTAGCTTTAGCGTTAGCTACCGTGAGGGGATTCGAAAAAGAAAGCAAAGTGGGATGACTGCGTCATAGAACAACGTACCGTTTAATGTGTATACGTGTTAGGGTTGTTTAGTAGGTATATAACAATGCCTTGCCGTCAAAGTACGCATCTAACGAAAAAAAAAGAGCTTTCAGATGTCACTGTCCTTAGCACTGAGTTAGTGAGACAGTTACCGTTTACGTGCCGCGTTTAGTTATGTAGGGAACCTGCCGTTATAGGGTGTCGCTAAAAACCCACGTGATTCCTTACGCGACTACCTGAGACGGCTGGATGGCAAAAGCTATTGTTTTCTTTTTCTTCTCAGTCAATCGTATTGATTCCCCTCCCCGAGAGAATTCTCCGCAACCAACGCGGTTTTACGCGGCCTCCGGGATCGAAGGCACTGGCAACCTCTCCCACCTCAACCGACTTTCCACTGTCTCAGAGATCCGCCCGTCTTCGACCAAGCGACGGCGTAATGTGTTGACGCCATCACGTGACGTCAGGATGACGTCGTGATGAATTTACAATTTCTGATGACGTCATAATAACGTAGTGGAGTGACATCATCACATTCTAGTGGAGTTTTGCACCGCTAGTGATGACGTCGACGGTGGCTCGTCGCGCTTGAGAGGCACCTGAGGTTATCGCCTTACTAGGTGTTATCTCAGGGGCGCAACGACAACTTGGCGCCATTCCGGGCAGCTTTCAACACATGACTATGGTTACAATTGCGTTTAGGTTCTTCTAAATAGCTACACGTAGTAAATGTTAGCGCTGACCTGCGCATTTTTCGTACACTACACTTAGTTTACGTAGATTCGCAGGTGCTCATTAGCATGAAAGCGAACGTAAGTCTGTTTTCTGATAATTTTGCTCTCTCTCATCATTGTTTACAAAAGAAAGGTGAAATTCGTGGTTTATCTTTTATTGCCTGATGACAGTATATTCATATCATTTGTGTATAAATAAATCAGGTAAATTCACTCTAGAGCATTCAACAGCAAAGCGAAATATGGCGCACTTTATATTGACGCCACAGATGTGAATCATGTCACGATATAGCTCAAGACGCACACATTTTAAATATCTTAGTTTTCTGCGACGTAATACGAAAGAGAATGCCTGCTTGTAATTGAAAAGTAGACTGGTTTTATTGCGATGAAATTAGAAGACAAAAAGAGCAAATGCGTAGTTTTTTGTTTGCAAAGTGAGTCGCTGTAAAGCCTGGCGGATTATGAGGCACTGATAAGGTTTTCATTTCTGGGATACATATTAATAAACCAGCATGATCCTTGTGTCTCGTTTTCTTTACCCATGTTGTGCTTTTAATACGCTTGATAAACAAGTTAGATAAGTAATCACAAGAAAATCTTGTAGTTATCTTAAGCAATGATGATTGATATGTGGCGTTTAACGTCCCAAAACCACCATATGATTATGAGAGACGCAAGTTATCTTAAGCAAAACATCAGATACGGATAAGGCTGATTTGTGAATACGGGCTTTAGTGGCCATAGAGCACAGTATATCTGAACGAGCATTTACTCCTAGTTTTCGAAATATTGATAAGCAGTCTCCTAAAAGATACAAATTGATGGTTCAATTGAATAGCTATATCGGATACATATGTTATCAAAGCATCATTTTACGTAAGAGAAGGACCAATTGAGTGAATCAATAATAAAGGAAATTCAACTGCTTCCTGTAATGGAAATATTGTGATTAGCTGGGAGCTGTAATAGGGCTGGGCCTCACGATAGATTTGTGTCCGTCGTGTCATGCTCCGTTTCCCAGATACACCCATAGATGGCGCAACTGCCTCAGGCACAGACGAAGCGGTTTTTTTAGGGGCGAAGCTCCTTAGGGCGTGGGCTGTGCGTCCCCTGTAGCCTGTATGTAGCCACCTCTAGTTTAGTTCTTGCAGTGTTCACTAGATGGAGGTACCGTCCCCTGTGTGTAGAGTTCAGTTCAGGCTGTCAAGGTGGATGGACGTGTTTTTTGAGCGCTCCGGATCGACTGCGCAGATAAGTGTTGTTGCCTGTTTTGAGCTTGTCTCTATAATTATAAGGCAGTGGTTGAAATCTTCGTAGCACTTATTTTATGGTACGGCTTTTTCGGGGGCCAGTCACCAGGTATTTATTAGTTAGTGCGGGTGTGTGTGTTTGATTTTTTTTGTTTTTTTTTATTTTGCCACCCCGTTGGGGAGGTGCGCGTACATTGAACACGCAAATTTTTGTAGTAGAGCTTGGACTTTTTTTCTTTTTTTTCGTAGTGCAGGGCTCGAGTTTAGTAATTATCGAGTATAGGGACAATTGGTGTCAGAAAGGCATGGTTAAAAAGACTGTAAAGTGTTCAGGATGTGGAGTGGGTTTGAAAGTGGACCCAAGCGTAGAAGCGGATGGAGAAGAGGCTGACGCGAAGTGTAGGCAATGTGAGGTCGAGGAAAAAATGGAGAAAATGATGGTTGCCCAGAGTGAACTGCTGATGAGAATCGCCAAACTCGAGACTGCGTTGGCGACAGAGCAAGAAAAAACGAGGGCAATGGGAGAAAGACTGAAGTCCGCCGAGGAAGTGCTAGCGAAGCTGAACAAAGAAGCGACCTACCGAGAGAACAGTAGGGAACCGGCAACCAGAAAGGTGGAGAAGGAAAAGCAAGCAAGCTTGGAAAAAACAGGTTTAGCCGGTTCAACTGTCGCAAGGCCCAGCTTCAGCGAGGTAGTGGTGGGGCAGGAAGGGAACAAAAGAGCCGGCGTCACAGGTGCAAGTAGCCCCCAGGTGCAGAACGCTCCAGCGGAAAAGTCACAGCATGTGATAATCGCCGGGGACTCAAATTTAAATCGACGCACAGAAGCCATCAAAGAGAGGGTAAGAGGTGACAAGAGGGTTGCAGTAGGGGCGTTCCCAGGACGCAAGCTGGAAGCAGTCATGAAGCAAGCGAGCGCAAAGCTCAAAACAACAGCTGATAGACGCAACCTCGTGATAATTTCAGGCGGTTTAAACAATGTCCTAAATGAAGATGCAGCAGGACTAGCAGCCACACTGGCGAAAGGCGTCGATGACATGCGCGCCACTTCTCCTAAGGTGCAGGTAGTGATATGCACGATACCGGAGGTACCGGTGCGTGATAGCAACCTGCAAAGAGCGGTGGTCAACGCAAACCAAGAGATATGGCGCATGAGTCGAGAGAAAGGCTTTGAGGTGGTGGAAATAAACAGAGAGGTGCATAGGTGCGGGGTTTTTCAACGAGACAGAATTCACTTCGATGGGCGGCTAGGTCATGAGGTGGGTTGGCGACTTGCAGGACGCGCAGTAGCTTTTTTGGGGGGCAAGCGAGCCCTTCGGGGTGCAGGATAGCTAGTAACGAGGAAAACAACCAGGGAGACTCTTCGACAGGTGGTATGGACAGATACGATTTCAAAGTGGAACCAATATCTAAGATACGTAGAGTCCGGGGCATAAATAGACGTAGCCACGAGCGCCGAGCCAATTCAGACATAGGGTATATTAACATGCAGGGTGGTAGGAACAGGCTGAAGTGGGAAGAGATAGAAGAACAGGTAAGGGAAGAGAGGCCGATGGTATACGGTTTTGTAGAAACACATCTCAGGGACATGGAACAACCTCTGAACAATCCGGACTACGCGTGGGAGTATTGTAATAGAACAGAAGGTAGCAGAAAGGGGGGTGGTATTGGGGCATTCATTCATAAAAGTACAGACTGGCAAAGGGTCAAGCAGGAGTGCAAGGAACATTTATGGCTAAAAGGGAAAGTGGCAGGTCAAATGACACTCGTTGGTGTCGTGTACTTGTGGACGGGAGCAAAGGCCAGAGAGGAAAACCAGGCAATGGTAGAGTGTATATCAAAGGACATTCAGGAGTTAGGAAGAGAGTGCGAGATAATTATACTAGGAGACATGAATGCGCACATAGAAGATATAGATGGGTATACCGACCCGACAGGCAAAATGATCATGGATATGTGTGAAAGGCTTGATTTGATCATTTGCAACAGTACCGAGAAGTGTGAAGGGCAAATAACATGGGAGGTAGGAAGGCTTCAGTCGACGATAGATTATGCACTGATGTCACATAGGATGTATGATAAGCTCAGGGAAATGCACATAGATGAAGGTGGCTCCAGAAGTCTGGGTAGCGATCACAAACGTATCAAGCTAAGTTTTGGAAGAGCAGTGAAAGTGTGAAGGAGACAAGATGAGCAACTACAGGAAAATTTTTATCCAGAAAGGCAAATTGAAATAGCCACTAAACAAATAGAGAAAGTAATCACGGAGGATAATAAGACAGTGTGGACATACACGAATCTAATTAGACTCTTTGAGATAGAGCTTGCTAAGACGCGTGACAAGTCACCCCGGAAAAGAAGACACAAACCCAAAAGTTGGT